CTTATAGCGTCGTATCCACGGAAGAGTCCGAAACTATGGAGTCAAGATGATGAAGGTAACATCAATCAGCTAAGTGACAAATTTTAGTCACATTAATCCTATATAGAGAGAGAATTAGCATGGGATGAACTTGACAGAGGAATGAAAAAAATGAAAAGAGTCATTGAAAAAAGAATGGAATCAATTATCAAGCTTATACTTTGAGAAACTTTTAGGAATGAATGCCAAAAATTTGTGCTGCAGTCATCAAGGCTAAAGCGAACAAAATCTAATTATGAAGTGTTTTTTTTTCTTTTTGTAATAATAAAATTTTTAATAACATATATATATATAATATAATGCAATATCTCTTCTATTGAGAATCTTAATATTGTGAAATTTTATATTGGATCTACTAAAAATGAATTTAAATTAAGATGGAGCCAAATCCTGATTTCAAGTATCGCAACCAAACATCCCTATCCAAATATTTTTGGTATTTAAAAGAAACAAATAAAACACCCACAGTAATATGGAAACTAATAAAAAAACAGGAACATGTAGATCTTTAAATGACCTATGTCGTTTGTGCCTACATGAAAGCTATATATTAATTAGTTTCTGAAAGATAAAAAATTATTAAATCAAAGAAATGAAATAGGAGATTTTGTAGACACTGTCTCATATTTTTCTTAAAAAAAATTATAAAAATAATTTGCATAATTATATATCTATTATTTGATAGTAAATAAAATAGTTTATGAATGCGTAATTAAATTCTAATATTTTAATTTTCCAATACCATACATATGTTATTAGTAAATATAATAAATATATTATTTTAGATCTTTATAAATACAAATATAAATATAATATAACTTAATCATATTTGAAAAAACCCTTTAAAAAAATCTCCATGTAGTTTACAAAATAAGAAAATAAATAAAAAATAAATATAAATGCCAATTGTATTTTAGCGTACCCCAAAGAAACAGACTGTGATGACACGTTCGCATAAAAGGAAGTCAGTATCAATAGACAGAAATTTCAACTACACACCTAACCTTAACCGATTTTCATTTTGCCACATAAAAATTTACTTGTATATACTTTCGTCAAAAAAGCCAACACCCACTTAATTTTTTTTTGAATTCTCATTCCCCCATCAATTGAAAATATATAATACTATTTGGCGTATAAATACAGTAAATACATTTTTATCGAAGGTATTCTGCATCGCTTGAAAATGGAACTGAAATTTAAATTTTAAGTTTAATTTAAGATTTAGACTTTGGTATCGGAACATGGTAATTTCTGTGTTGCGACGAATACATATTTTTTAAAATAATTATAATATATATATATATATATATATATATATATATATATATATATATATATATGTATGTATGTATGTATTGTCAGACAGATTGTTTCATTGTATCACAGCTCGTCAGTGTAGCTAGACATCCGATTGCCTCCAGCCAGGATCAAAACCCAACTGATCAGTCGGAGATTTTTTTACTTTAAGCTATCAGCTCCTGGCAGAGAGGAAGGGAATTTTTGAAAAACACGCCATTGACCCAGAGTGCTCGATTCATAGACGAGCTTCACACACACACACACACACACACACACACACACACACACATATATATATATATATATATATATATATATATATATATATATATATATATATATATATATATTAGCTACAGCCGCAGACCACAAAAAAGGAATTTTAAATAATTTAAATACCTTCTTCGAATTTCGGAAATTGAACTTTGAATTTCAGTTCTATTTGAAGGATAATGGCCTAAAGTTAAATTAATCTCCGTATATGAATAAGCTTTTAATGCATTTCATCGCATCATCAAGCCGGCATTTTAACTAATTTACAATACTCATTAAAATCTAATATCTGTCCGAGAGATATGTTTCTTTTTTTTTTAAAGTAATGCTTACGCTTTACACAAAACAGAATGAAAATAACATTTTCTTCAAGCAGGGTAGCCTGTGAAGACTTAGGAAAAATATAGAAACACTGCAATTTCACTCCTGTCTGAATTGGCGCGTGAAAAAGGAAAAATAAGACAAACAGAAATACGAAAATGTAACGTAAATGCATTTAGTCTAAGAGTAAAGTTTACAAAAATGACAGTATGGAGTATTCTTTTATGCAAATGAAATAGTTTTGTCGTAATTTAGAAAATTTTCCTGGTGGCAAGGGGTAAAATATGCATAATACGTAAGACAACAATTTATTTTTAAAATAATACATTTAATTACTGAATTAAGTATTAGTTCTTGTATAGAAGAATCAACAAATCAATGCAGGAAAACAGACACGCCCCCCCCCCAAAGCACTTGTACCGATGGATCGTGACATGCCTTTTCTGTGTATCTTAGTTTCATTTAATTCTTTTTAATAACTGAAATATCCAGAGAATGTAAGGTACGCGGAACTAGAACAATCTACCCTCGTGGATTAAATAAAGGATTCGGTTTGAAATTCCAACATATCTCGCCTGAAGAAGACCGGAGCGTGCAATGGCCGAAACGTCGTGAATATGACAATAAAGAAGAGGTCAACAGTCCGAACAATGTAAATAGTGTAAATAATTACAATACTTCATCTCAGAAATATAAACAGACACAGATGTTTCGGTTACAGGATGAAGATTGATGAAAACTTTGCTTTGATGAGGTTAAGAAAAAGTTATTTTGATAGTTTAAAAGGAAGATATTGATTGATTTGTTTTTATGGACTATCAACACATTGCATGTTATTTAAAGCCAGAAAATATTTTTAGATTGTAACAATAGTTTTAGCGATACAAGTCTTACTAATTAGCCCTTAGCTGAGTGTGTGGGGTTAGAAGAGGTGGATTCATGCCTTTTCCAAGAGTATTTGCTCGTAAGTGAAGATAACGAACCCAACGCGAATTCGAACTCGTGACTCCGATTAACAATTCTGAGTTATTATCCATTACACCACCTGCACATCCAAGCTTACAGCATTTGGCATTCCCAAGCACTCTCGAAAGGCTCGACGTTGCTTAATTTCGGTGATCATACAGGAAGCAGTGTTTCAACGAGTAAGCGAGGATCACCATAGGATCCCCGTGGGGTCAATGGTCGAGTTGATGTGGAATTATCCCTATACTACGCTTATTTTTATTTCTTTTTCTAAGTTGGGCCAGTTGTGAGGGCCTCGGTATGAAGTTACGACTAACCAGGTCATCTGCTTCATCATTACTCCTAAGTAGTAAGTTTGATCTTCACTTGGTGCTCAATACTTACGTCCTTGTGCCAAACTAAGTTGACCTTGACGGAAAGGGAAGTGCAAGAAATTGGTATGAACAACACCCAGCCGGTTACGGAGATAGGACCTGTCACAATTTTATGGGCCTTTATAATACAGACAGACAGAGCAATCAAATCTAATCGCCCTGACATCGTGATTAGAGACCCGCAAAATGTACCTCCTTATTGACATGGCAGTCCCTGGAGACTGCAATGGATCTTTGAAGATCTTCAAAAAATCTATCAAAATACAGGAACCTTGAAATCGAAATCTCAAAAAATGTGGCTCATGAGGGCATTAACAATTCCAGTTGTATTTGAAACCTTTGGATTGATTGAAAAAGATTACAATAGACTAATTAAAAGTATCCCTGGTAGCCCATACCTTAAAGAAATGCAAAAAGAATGTACTCACAAATATAGCCCACAACTTACGAAGGGCGTTATCTATGTAAAATATGCGCGATTTTTTTTTCAAAACTGCTCAATGGAAAATGTCATGATGCCATTTCTGGCCTTAGGTTTCTGGTGGGGACCCGGAAAGAAATGAGTTATACACCAGAAACCAAAGGAAATAAAACAATAATAATAATGATTTATTATTGACTGAGAGAGAAATACGACCAGAAACTGCGACTGAGGTACAAATATACGAAATCCTCTCTATCCATTATGACAAAGATAGATAAAGATTTATCAGTTACAGGAATCACACACAAGGATGCGAGATATGGTGAAAGGCTTTTGATAAAAACAGCTCCCAGTTATTTAGGTATCACTCTCAAGTAGACTTAACTGCCTCATCTTTTGAAATTAAAGAAAAATATAACCCAGATATTCACAGTGGCCCATCTTAATTCACCAAGAGAAAATATGCCCATATATCCTTATTATTGTGGTTGTCGCATTCAATCGGAAATCTTACAATATGGGTGTTTTCAATCATGTCGTGCGAATTCAAACAGAGGGCACTTTTCGTAGAATATTTGTAGTGTCAAGCAACACAGGCATTTGAAATGATGACATACTAGGCTTTATTACGATCTACTTAATGTCGGACTTTTATAATCAGTAGTAGTATGATCACCGGGAACAACAACGCCAATGAGAAGTGTGATATCAGGGCGATTGTACTGCAAGCGCTTGTCAGTCAAGATGGTCGTATTACACGTGAGTTTCACTTACTCATTCTCAGCTACTGTAAAACTTCTCTGCGGACTCGAAGCTATTTTATCTGCATAGTTCCCAATGTATTCTGATGGCTTCTTTATTATTATTATTATTATTATTTCCTTGGGTTCATGTTGTATGCACATTTCCTTCCGGGTCCAAACCAGAGACCTAATCTCAGAAATGGCTTCATGTCAGTATCCACTGATTATTTTTTGTAAAAACAAAAAATAAAACCCCAAGATCATGAACATATTATTATTATTATTATTATTATTATTATTTGCCGCACGGCCCTTTCCCGCCTCTTTTTAATTTGTTTTCTTCCTTTTTTTTTGGTTATTTTCCTATATTGTCCATTACTCTTTCTTTTTTTTTTTTTTTTGTTAATCTTTCTTTCATTCTTTTTCTTGACTTCCTGTCTTCTTTTGGCCGCCATATATACGCGGCAAAATCGTTTCGAACTTTTCTCTCGGCCTGTTGCCACCAAAGCAATGACTGGAAAGTAATATTCATTCTTTCACGTGCCAACAACTGATCGGATGGCACATAATGTGTTTTGCTCGACCAATACACAACTGCCAACGGGTCAGAAGCGTGGGAAAGGGTACGAAGCGGAATAGGAGCAAACTCCAACGAATTGTGCTGTGACAAGCGCAATACTTGAGGCAGTAGTGGGGGTGTTCTATTAAATACCTTTTGCATGAGAGGTTTCTGAATAGGACGCCAATCTACGCCAGCCTTGAGAGTGTTCGCCTATTTTTTTTCTGCCTGATCCCTTTTCCTGGAATTGACAGAATTAATTCCTTGTTTTCGATCTTATCTTTTTTCACCATTTTTTCTACATCTTTTGGCTATCCACTTCTTACCATTTTTTATTCCAGTTTCTCTTTCAAGATATTTTTTCATTCCTTCTAATCAAAACTCTTCAATTTCTTCTTCGCGCCTTCTTTTTTTTTTCAACGATCATGGCTTTTTCGATTACCTGTTCAGTTATTTGAATTTTTCCATTATGATGTGTGTTCTAGTAATGCTGTCAATTCAACGATTTGCGTTCACTTTTTCCTGCTATCATTTCCTCACTACTATTTTATTTACATTTTCAGATCTTGTTTTTTTTTCTGTTCATTCTTTGTTTTTCACCTTTCTTTCTCATTCTTTTCATTTTCAGTGCATATTTTTCTTTTGTTTCTTTCTTTTTCAGTGATTTTTTCTTTTCGTTCTCTGTGTATATTATTTTTCTCTTTTTCCTTCTTTTTCTCTTTCTTTCTTTCTTTCTTTCTTTCTTTCTTTCTCTCTTTCTTTCTTTCTCTCTTTCTTCACTGCAAATTTCTCAGTACATATTTTGCATTTTCTCCTTTCTTTTATCGCTTCTCACTTTCTTCTTTGCAGTCACAGCAAGGACATTTTTCTTTCTGTTTTTCTTTGTTTTTCTTTCTCTTACCATTTCTTTCTTTTTTATGTTCAATCCCAGCGGTTTTCTTTCATTTATCTTTCTTTCTTTCTTTCTTTCTTTCTTTCTTTCTTTCTACTTGCTGCCATTTCCTCTTCCCTTCTTTCCTTCTATTAATTCTTTCTTTTCCCTTCCTTTTCATTTTCTTCCTGCTCTTTTTCGTACATTCTTCTTAATTATTTCCTTCATTCCTTCAGTTCTTTCTTTAGAGTTTTCTTCCCTTTACTGTTTCTTGTTCCTTAATTTTCTTCTCCCTTTCTTTCTTCCTTTCTTCTTTTCTTTTCCATGGCGTTTTCTCCTTATTTTTTTTCCGTTTGTCTCCCTTCCGACATTTTCGCTACATTTAATTATATTTTGGGACTTTCCCATGTTATCAATTTTCCATTTTTGAATTTTTCTTTTATATATTTTTAGGGATTTTATGAGACTTTTTAATATTTCCTTCTATTTTTTTTCCTTTCCTAATTTTTTTTTTCCTGTTCTTTACTTTTCTTCCTTGTTGAATTAATAGCGTCACCTCACACGTTCGTTCCTTTCTTTCTCCTTTGCGTTTTACTTATATCTGATTTCCAGAATGTTCTTCCAGATTTTTTTTTTGCAATGGACGCGTACATACACTTTATTTCGTTTCTATTTTTTATTTTTTTGAAAAAAAATTCTCTATTGGATAAGTAAAATCCACTAGAGAAGTTTGAATGAAAAATTGCATGAACAAATCGATCCGGAAATTGAAAAAGAAATCATTTTATCGTGATCGTCTCACTATGGGGCAGTGGCTAGCAAACTCAACTTGCAGGTCATTATGAATCTATTGAATTCACTCCTTACCGAATACCCTCCACATAGGGGAAGATAACGTGCCATTCTATGTTTAGTAAATAAAAATAAGGCTACAATGTTATAACACAGTAGTTACCAAGTTCAGCTTGTGGAGCACGCAGATTCTATTGAATTCAATCATTAGTGTCGCTTCTATATTTACGTGCGTGTTCATGCATTGTGTGTGAATCCCGAAGACTCCCAGTTGAGTATAAGGCCACTGCTTCACCAAGCAAGGTGTTTCGGTCGCAGTTTCCGTATAGAACTTAAGTCTTTACGGGGTGGAGTTACAAGACCCACGCCCAACCGATTTTGGAATCAGAGTTGTCCTTTCAGTCTTGTCGCTAACCTGATAAGTTTATCATGCTATTACTCATGGGGAGAAGAGCTAGAATCATACCCACTTCCCAAAGATATTTGTGCTAAAGCAAATGAAAAAGCGTCGGCTGGAATTGAAACACGACACGCCAATCTCACTTTTCACGCCGACAGCCGCTACGCTACAAGCAATCTCATGCGCATATCTTCTATGTGTTGGGTCCCTTCAGGACGTGGGCGATCATGGTTCTTCATAACTTCCTATCTTTGTAGCACTTACCAATATATGTCTTTTTATTATACCTCCCAGTCCATGATCTGCAAAGCACTTTCGTTTGTTTCTGTCAAACTTGCTTTTGAGTGTGTTAAATTCTCCAAAACTATTCAAGAGTTAAAAGAATTTTAGCTGTCTCTTTCTGTTTCTAAGTATAGGTGTTATTTTTTGTTTTTATTTTCCTTATATATTTCTCGTTGGTCACATGCTCCGCCCATGTCTGTTGTCTTAAGTCTTCACACTAATACAGGCAAAAGAATTAGAGAAACTGACCATTCTTGTATTTATTCGTTTACACAATTTCGTTAGTGTCATGGGTCCTTACCTGTAACTACAGAATGAACTCTTCCTAACACTATGTATACTACGCCTCTCAAGAGAGAGGGTCGAATCGAGTCGAGCCGATAGTAGTTCACTCCAAACCAGACTGACAGTCATACTAACACCTTCCACATCTTGTATTATTATTTCGTGTAATATACCTTCGTTATTTCTACTCTTGTGTTCGTCTTGTTCTTTCTTGGTCCTAACCTGGACCATAACAGTTAGGCAGCTGCTTCTCGCTGTCTCTTTTGCCTCTAAGATGTCCGCTGAGTGATACATTTTCCAAACCTTCTTTCCACATTATGTGCCCTAGAAATTTCAACTCTTTCTGATTCTGTGCCCTTTTTCTGTCCATGTTTCTTAAAACCTGCTCTCATTGTTCATCGGTTCTGTCCATGGTATTCACATCATTCTTCAGTATTAATACATCTCTGTCAACTCAAGTTTCTTCTGTGAAGAAATTGTCCACAATTCCTTATCATATATGGAGTTTAATAATCCATAACAGTTCAGCACCCTTTTCGTTGTATGCTAATGAATAACCATTGCTTTTTATTGCATTGTTTAGCATTTTGAAAAAATCATTTGTTGTTTTAATGCGTCAGCGGATATCAGTGCCACATTTTCTGTCATCTGTTAAAACACTTACCAGATATTTCAAATTCTGGAAAGGCTTAATTTTGACATTTCCAATTCGTAGCTAACATCTTTACTGTCATGTCTGAGAATTCTTACAGTTTGTTTTATGCATCATCTGTGTTCGTTTCGCACATCTGCACATCATAGGTTGTTGTCAATGTGTCCACCGATAATAAATCCTTTTAGGATTACTAATTCTCCTAGGATTACCTCGGAGGTTAAATAAATCCTTTGAGGAGAGGTATCTTATTTTTTCTTTTTTTTAAATCGATATCACCCCATGCAAAGCAGTAAAGTCACTAAAACACAAGGGATTACAGGGTGTGTTAGAATTAGGAACAGAAACATTAATAATGAGCGGAAAGAAGAAAGAGTAATCAGGTGAACAGTAGATAGCGATTGACATTGCATTTAAAATTTTGCAGATAAAAGTTAGCTGGAAAGCATGGATCCGGAAGTGGGTTTCTGTTATACTGGAACATACCTATTCTATTGTTAATAGACTCTCCCACATATAAGTAGTAGTAGTAGTAGTAGCAGTCACGAAGTCGCTCAGTGAGTTGGTGATTCAGTCGATGTCGGACATTAAAGTATCAACCACCACAACTAGATTGCTGCGTCATTAATTATTATATCAAGTTCCTAACGTTTTGTACGTCGAACCTTTTTAGGACCGACTTAGTGAAACACAAGCCTCCACTGTGAAAACTACTTTACAACAGTTTCAAAAGCGAGAAAATCTGAAACATAGAATTTACGGTTATATCTAGCGACTGAAGGCGAACCGCTAGATCAGGAACAATGATGTTGCTGATTCTTCTTTGGATTTTATCAAGGATCTCTACATATAACAGGAGCACTGAATCGTATGCGATAGCAATATTCCAAGCACCGACGAATGGTGTATAGACTTATAGATATGTAAGATAGATTCTAGAGAGATAAAGTATCTCGCACAACATAGTCAAGCGACTTTCTTAGGTCTTGTTTTCGCTTTTAATTTTTGTATGCTTTCTCAATTCATTTTCTCTTTGTATGCAGGTTGTTTGCTCTATTATACGTTCTGGAATATTCTAATATCTTAACCAAATAAATCCAATATCCCATGGGCATATAAAATAGATTTAACAAATAAAAATAACTTTACCTCGGGTGTAGTGGTTAGTAAACTAATCTAGAAAGCCATTTTTTGATTCTGTTTCATTCGATCCTTACAGTTTATCCTTCACATATGGGGATTTATTGCGCTAATCTGAAGTAAGGAGACAGACGATAAATTTGCTTTCCAATGTCGCCGTTGTTAGCAAACAAATCATGCAATTAGTTACGAAACTGTTTCTGGATTTCGGGGATAAAGAGTTATCGTTATTTACAATATTTACATTCAGACTTTTGTTCTCATTTTTGCTTTTATTATCACAAAAAAAGACTACAAACATATAAAAGAAAATAGACCCTTTGCTCCTGTGACATTCTTCGTGGCCAAGCGGTAAAACACACCGGATGAAATGAGGCTTTCCCCTAAAAAGATAGTTGCTGGATCGATCGTTGCCAGAGAACACATTTTCTTTACTAGGATTATTCGAATGTACAGCCGATAGACATAATACACACTGTTTAATATGGGGAATCTATTTCAAATACGAATTGTCCACTGTGATGACGTTTGTAGTTATTTCATCCACTCGCCCTTCCCCTGTATACTTACTGTTCACTTATATGTAAAGGAAAAATTTTCTTTGCCTACGCATTTCGTCCTTTAGTGGACATTATCATGGTAAATATCAAAACGCGCCGGCAAAGAAAAGGTTTTTCTTTTGTCTTTATTTATATTGTCAATTTATAGATATATTTTTAGTTATATCTGAAAGTTTTCGCACACACAGACACACACACACACACATAATGCACATACACCTTGGGCACCTTGGCGTGGTGTAATGGTTAGCAAGCTAGTCTCGCTAAAACATTTACGACAGAACAGTGAGTTGGATCCTCACTGGGTGTCCAATACATTCGGCATTGTGCTGCACCTAAGCTACGCTTAGAAAATCAATATTGGGCACCTCGAGGTGGTGTAGTGGTTAACAAGCTTGTCTCGCTAGAACAATTACGACTGAATAGTGAGTTCGATTCTCACTGGGTGCCCCATAGTTTCGCCATTGTGCCACATCTAAGCTGCGCTTAGAAAATAAATATAATGCACACACACATACACATATATATATATATATATATGTGTGTGTGTGTGTATACACACACAGGGTGTATCAAAAATAATTTTCCATCTTTGGGAGCCGGTTTCTCATACAAAATCAAGGTAAAATATCTATATAAACATAAGGCCATCGTTGTAGCTCAAACTCATAACAAATGTTCAAATATCATTGTCTGTCGGGCCTTCAAATACTCACATGGTGTCGAATGGTTTCGCAGGCCCCCATGTCTCGTTGATGAAGTGTGTCTGCATTATTAATGTCTGCTTCATAAACCAAATGTTTCGGGTGGCCCCACAAATAAAAATTCAAATGATTGAGGTCGGGTGAACTTGAAAGCCAAGGAACCGGTCTTCGCCTACCAATCCAATTTCATGGTAGATGTCAGCTAGTGAATCGCGAACAATCTGACTAAAAGGTGCTAGGGCCCCATCATACATGAACCACATATGTTTTCGTATTAGAAAGCGCAAATCGAAGTGTATTCGAAATAAAATCCCTGTAGATAGCTCCTGTAAGACCTGCTGTGAGAACATATGGACCGACCAGACAGTCACCTACAAATTTCAGT